AGCAAATCCATACTGTAGAGTATTATGCTATTAAAATTAGCTTTTAATCTATAGTTACTGACCTGGAGCGATGTCTATGTTGCATGAACAAAGAATAATGTACGTGTCTGTGTGTGTGTGTGTATATGTGTGTGTGCACACGCGCACACACACACACACACATATATAATCTGTAATAAAGGAAAAATACATATCTAATTTATATATATTTGGGTGGGCATGATAAAAGAGAAGTGTACACAACAGGCCATGACCGCTGGGTGAGCGCAGATCCTTCCTAGGTGTAGTGTTTCACTTTTTTATAACATTTATTATTTTGTATACACACCGAACATATATATTGAAAGAAATTTTTAAAGGAGAAAAACAGACTCAAATGAAAAAGCTCCGGCCTTTAGCAATGAGAGCAGCTTCATTTATGTAATTCAGAGCAAGGCGGGAGGGCCTTAGGGAGCTCAAGGCACGGGTGGTGGAAAAAACCATGAGATCATCATCACATCAGCCCTGAAGCTGTCTCAAGAGAAGCTGCTGAAACTCGGAGAAAATCTAGCTGGTAATCGATACATAGGGCTCTGTGGGCCCTTAGGGACAGGAATGAAAACACCAACCGAATTAGCCTGCCAGCTCATGGAGACGTTGGCGAAGGACCTGCGAGCTACACCTCTTGCACCCACGTCGGCCCAGAGGTGCCCCACACCCCACTACTACTTCTGGAGGCACACAGCCGACACGGACTCACAACCTGCAATGTGCCCAGCCCCGTGATGCATAGCGTGGAAGTGCTTTCACTTAGTCCTGCGAGGGGGCAGTCCGATGACATGTTAGCCGTTTTGATGGAAGACGTCCTCATCACTAACCTGCTTCTCCCATACTGTCCCGTAAATCTAAAGATCTGGGGTGGTATTACCCACATCTCTTTTCCACTTTTTTTTTTTTAAAATTTTTTTTTTCAACGTTTTTATTTATTTTTGGGACAGAGAGAGACAGAGCATGAACGGGGGAGGGGCAGAGAGAGAGGGAGACACAGAATCGGAAACAGGCTCCAGGCTCTGAGCCATCAGCCCAGAGCCCGACGCGGGGCTCGAACTCACGGACCGCGAGATCGTGACCTGGCTGAAGTCGGACGCTTAACCGACTGCGCCACCCAGGCGCCCCTCTTTTCCACTTTTCTGCACTGAGGGCACTGATAACCAGCTCCCCAGATCACTGCGCCTTGTGGCTTCGACAGTGTTCCAGGGGCTGAAGCTAATTCCTCTTCATCTCTGGCACATTCCCGATACCACGTAGCCTTATTGATGAGACCCATGCGGCCAGCTTGACCCGGGGCCGTTCTCTCCCAGAATGTCCACGGGCTCAAGGATCTCTGTCACTGTCCCTATTTTCCTCAAAAGCTGGTCCTAGTAGAGGTCTAGACTTCTGGAAAGGAGGAAGTACTTGCTCAAGTCTACCGTGGAGTCCAGTGGTATAATCTGTTTGAATCTAGTTGTTTATTTGGCTCTGTAATTAGGAGCCAGGAGAAATCTTGGTTTAGGTAATTCAGAATACAGAGAATATATGTGAATTCTGAAGTAGTAATCTAAAAACTAACATCACGAACTCCTACCAATGTCAAGAGTATTTACTCCTGTTGGCCTTAATTCATTCTAAATTAAAAGCGAGAGGACTGTAAAAGCACACATTTCTAAATTCATAAATAGAGGAAAGACACTGAGGGACCCATATAATTAGGTTTTTCACACAGAATTAGCCAAAGCCTATTTAGTATTTCAAAATCCTTATCTATCTCAAATATGCTTCTTTGGTCAAAATACAAGATACTGAAAGAAATCCCAAGTAAGGTTTTCAGTGAATGGTTTGTGATAACTCAATTTGTCTAACATTACCAAAGGAAGCACTTTCACAAGTAATCTTTCCAACTGATTGAAGTTATTAAGTGGTACAAGTTGCCTCAAGCTGGGAGTATATTTCCCACATTTCCTAATAAAAAAAAAAATTCCCTTTCACTATAAACAGTGCTAATTAAAAGAAGTCAAAGGCCAGGGGTACAGATTTCCATACACAGCCAAATCTTGTTTGGGTTAAATGAATCAAACGGAATAGGTCTGGGAAAATTTTAAAGGTGTTAAAATAACTGTGTTTTAGAAACAAAGTGTAGGGCTTTTTTAGAGTTCAGAATTATGATATCAATAATCTTCAGGGCCAGAAATCATTTCCTTCCATTTTAGTATTCTAAACTTAAAACTGACATTTCATTACTCTTAATTCTGTCACAGAGTTCTGTGTTTTCCTTTAGGCGAATCAATTACAAAGGGAAAAATTACATCCTGTCTGTTGAACATTATAAGGAAGGCAGCTTTGAAATCCAAAACCATGCTAGAAGTCTCACCAGATCTCTTTTTCCTATCTGGTTTCAAGAACTCAAACTGTACTCGGAGCTGTGACCGATGGTTATTAGTACTCTGGATAACCTCAAATCCCTCTAGCACTCAAGAAAGAAAATAAAAACAACCCCTCCATCTCAAGTCTCCAGCAAGCTGGTCTCAGTCAGTATTAACCTGATGTGCTTCCATCATCAGCATTCGACATTTTAAAATCAGGGATTTCCAAATAGCAAATGCTACTAATTTTTAGCTTAATGTTTATATACATTTGATATTTGAAATTTGTTATTTTCTGAAGCATGTAATTTCTTCTTTTGCTAGTTCGTGTATTAATTCACATAAGAATCACAAGTCTTCACTCGCAGTGTCTCCTGCTCTTCCGCCATCTTCTGTCAGTTACTCCACATGCTTCACAGCCGTGCTGTGATTCACCACTCACCACGTCCTTCCCTCCCGTTGACGGAACGAACGTTTATGCGGCACCGGTTACATACCGCTGGGGGTGTAATGGTCACAAGCTCTCATTTCTACCTTAAGCCCTTGTATGTTTGCTCACTTCTTTTCACGATCACCCTGTGAAGAGTAGCAGGGTGAGTGTTCTCCTTATCCTGACAGGGAAGCAAATAAGCTCCAAGTGTAAGTGATTTTCTCAAGGTCACACACCTTGTGAGAACAGGACTGGAAGCCAGGACTCCTTATGCTAATGCTAGATGCTGTCAACAACAGACGGTCTATTCGAGATTAATTCCATTTGACACGATTTTAATTCTTCTCACTCTTAAATTATCCTTTTTTAAATGTTACTTTCAGTCTCTCCCACATGAAGCAGAAACCGTGTCTATTATTTCCTCTCAGTTTTAAGCATATAGGGGACAGGCTAATGGTGACTGCTGTTTAAAAAAAAGAAAAAAACCCACCACCATATAGGCTACTCTAGCAGAATGCAGAAATAACTCGCGTTAAAAGGACTCCTGTTTTCAAGCAGGGCTGAGTCTCAGGCCATCTGTGATCTTACCGTACTAGGATTAAGAGATTTAAATACTATTAGAAAATAACCTTTCCTTTGAGCTTCCTGAGACCCATCCCTCACTCCAGCCCTGCCCCGTGGGCCCATCGGTCTCCCTAATTAGGGCCAGGAGCCGGTACGGCAGAGATCCTGTTGTAAAGCTGTGGCCAGTTACTATCCGGGTGAGTCAGTGCCTGTGCTTTACCAGTTGACAGATATTTTTAATAACCCATCTGCCTTCAGACAGGATCTTGGGGGTGCTGTGAGGCTATCCTTAACTCTCTAGGCTAAGTATCTGTGGTATCCAGATAAAGCTGTAACAGCACTGTGCCTATTGATGTAATTAGAGGGGTACAGGGAAAACGCTTATTGCTAAAATTTCATTCACATCTGAATGTGAAGATCTGATCTTATTAGATCCTTTCCAATAAAAGTTACCTGAAAGGATGGCTCTTCAGGAAGGGGGGAGGGGAGAGTTGGCTCCAGAGCATGGAGAAGTCAACCTCAAGGGCCTAGAGTGGAGTGTTAAGAGAGAAGGCAGCAGAAGGCAGATTTAGAAGTTTTTTTTAAACTTCTTAAGTTTAAAAAGTTTAAACTTTTAAGTTTAAGATTTAAGAAGTTGCCTTTAAATTCCTTTTCCCTATGATGAAACTTCTACTCTTAACATTACTCTTAAGCCAAATAAACTTTTCAACAGATATGAAGGAAAGAGCAATAAAAAACCAGAAGGTTCATCACATCAACTGCCAAAACTTGAGGAAGAAATTGTTTCATCTTAAGTATTTTATTAGTTGAATAACATCATTGTAGTGGCCATTAAAATAATCTGAAACAAAACGATCAGTGTAAAAGCAAGTTACGGTGTCACTTTATTTATACAAGAGGAAGCAGCAAAGGTGCACATTTGGAAGTGGATAGAACACTGTTCAATCAGTCCACGTTAAATACCATGAAAGCGGTCAGGATGCAGCGTTATATACATACCATTGGAAAAGAAAGGGTTTACAGAGTTAAACTTTTGCATAACATGAGTTTTCATCTGCTAGGTTTAAGTTGGCAAAAAGCCTTATAGTTTGTATGAAATGATCGTGTGCCCTAATCTCACCCACCACTAGATCAAGACACTGAAACTGAGAAGAGTTCCTTCCTTATTTTACAGCTTTATTCTTGACATGCCTCCAAAAAGAGACAAAATGATTGTGGAGCTGACTCATACCTGGAGTAATTATAAAGTACCACGGTCATAACAAAAGCCAAAAGAAGTATCTACAATTGTTTTACCTTTCAACTGCTGAGGTCACACACAACACAGTACAAGTAGGCATAATTGTGCATTCATGAGTTGACTGTACTAACCTCTGCAAAAACTTCGGAATGAGCATATCTGAGTAAATGGATACTTCCTTATCTTACAAAATAAAATCAAGCAGGAGTGCGTGGGTGGCTCAGGTCATGATCTCGTGGTTCGTGAGTTCAAGCCCCGCATTGGGCTCTGTGTTGACAGCTCAGAGCCTGGAGCCTGCTTCGGATTCTGTGTCTCCCTCTTTCTCTGCCCCTCCCCCACTCCTGTTCTGTCTCTCTCTCATAAACATTAAAAAAAAAAAAAAGTAAAATCAGGCATTTTCTACTTTAAAATTTTTATTTCTGTGTAAAACAAAGACAGAACTCCTGGAGGTCAAACAAAGAAAACACTCGGCAAGTTCAAAGACTGTTAAGTCATGAAACAAAGAAGAAATCTGAGGTAGAAGTCAGGTATTAAATCCACAACTTTTTAGAGGCATTCTTATTCCCAGCAACCATAATGTCTCCGGTAAGATCTCATTTAAAAAAAAAAAAGTCAGAAGTGCCAAAAAGTTAATAATCCACTCTCTGAAATCAAACGTAAAACTATGACCAACAGAAGATACAAACTTTTGTCATGTTAACAGAGTAATGGTTTTACTAAAAGCTGCTGCCGTTTCCATCAGTAGTAACCATAGGGAGGCCGTTGGTTGTACCCATAGTGTCCGTACTGGTGGGGGTAGTAAGGTTCTTGTCTGTGCTGCGGGTAATTGTTACCCCAGGATCGTCCATGCCACTGATTTGATCGATTGTCACTGGGCCACCCCCGTCTGCTATCCCTACCTCTAAACTGTCTGTTATCTTGCAACCTACAACAGCAAAACAAAAAGATTTTTATACTTCTCTTTTAAAAAACACAAATGACAACTCTATCCCAGTGCATTTTATTTCAGTCTAATATTCCGTCCACAAGGGGGTAAAAAACATTTTTCTCCGCAGAATGTTATAGCACCAGTTGGTCAAAACATTCCCAAAATTTAAATCATTCTTCCACTATCACACTGGATACGCTTTGCAGAGAAATAGGCAGACCGCAACACAAAACCCAAAACAACAGAATAGTTCTCAAACTGAATTCTATTCGATTGTACAAAAGCAGTATGGTTATCTATTCATGTATTTTGAATTATTACATAGACATAATTTCTATTGTATAAATTTCTTTCTCAAGTGTAAGCCAAAGACAGTACCTTCTCTATGGAATCTAACACAGAGTTTTATAGAAGACTCTGGGATTTTCAAGTATATTTGCAAAGAAAATCAAATGTCCACAGGAAGAACATTTTAAAAAAGAACATTAAGACACACACAACTGAACAGCAAGGGAAAAATACACGGTGCCGACAAAATACTAAGGCACACGTTTACTGGCCGCTTGCTCCGTGCAGGCAGGCGGTCGGCACCAGGAGTACCAAACAAAAACATCGGTCCCTGCCCTCGCTGGCCTCGGGGGCTAACGGATTAAAGCCGTCCTCTCCCACGTCAGCCATCCGCAGGTGTCCTCCCATGATACATACCGATTGCCTCTATTTCTCTGGTTCCCAGCGGCTCTGCTAGTCCACTCCTCGACGATCGGAGGGGACTCAGGAGGGCGCTTCAGGTATTCCTGGTATTCTTGGTCATCTTCTGTGAATCTACTGGCGAACATCTCTTCAAAATTTGGAACAGCTTCAGAAGCGTCCGTCATCCTGAAATTCTGTTGTTTTTAATACAGTGCTCTGAGAATTTTTTTAAAAAGTCACATTATCTTACCAGATAGTGAAAAACCAAGAGATGAACAATTTTAGGCAGGGTATTCATAAACGTCTTTGTGTACTTTTAAACTTCAGATAGTTATAAACATTCAATTCAGTGTTTCTTGACTTCTGTAATATAGATGTACTAATTGGGCACCCAGGATACAAAGATGAACAATATATCGTGGTCTCTACCGCCAAAGAACTCTTGGTCTACAGCGTAAGACAGACGTGGTATAAAGGGAGGACCAGTGAATGTCAAGAAATGAAGCTGGAAAAAGAGGCAGGGATCAAATTGTGAAAAACTGTGTATTCCACACAAACAACTGTGCACTTATTCTGGTAGGAAATGGGGAGTCCTAGGTGGTTTAAGCAGAGAAGTCTCCAGAGCAAGCCGACTATTTACAAGGATCACTCTTCTAACCGGGCAGAGCACAGAGCAGCGAGGACAGACCAAAGGCAGCTTACTGCACTGCTGTAGGGCTCAGTCTGAGGAAGCAACTGTGAGGACACGTAAGATTCCAGGAGAAATTAATCACTCACTAGATGTTGTGGGGTGGCAGGGGAGACAAAGGATCACTTCCAGGCTTCTAGCCAAATGAGCGCACGGCCTGTGGTGCCATGGGAACCACAGGAAGAAGGGTGGGCAAGGGTTCACAAGAGTCTGAAGTTAGTTACGTTATGCCCATCCACACGGAGAGTCAGCTCACAGTTACCTATTTGGGACTGAGAAGCAAGTTGATGATAAATACGGGAGACATCAGCAATTCTGATGGTGGTTAATGCTGTCAGAATGGAGGAGATTCCTCAGGAAGATTGTGGAATAAGGAGAGTATCAAGGAACAGAATCCTGGAGAACACCGACGTATAAGGGAGTTGAAGATAAAGAAGAAAACCGATAAGAACCAGCAAAGTGAGCTTACCATAGAAGGCAAGAGAATAAAGAGTGAATGGTCCTCAATGTTGAACAGTACAATGATAGAACCAAGAAGAGAAAACTAATTGGGTTTAGCCATTAGGAGGTGATTATTTTAGAGTACTAGGGATTGAAACAGGACTGCAGTTAATTGAAAAGTAACTGGAAGGTAAGGAACTAAAAATCTACACTGACTACGGACTAAGTTTTCAGGAAGCTTCGCTGAAAACGAGAAAAAGGCAGTAGCTAAAGGGTTACTGGAAAATTATCTCCAATTTTTCCCAGGACAAAGTACCTGAGGTTAGGTTTATAGGAAAAGAAAAAAGAACCAGTAAAAAAGTGAAAGACTGAAAATACAGGAGAGACACAAAAATGGAAAGGCAAACAGGCATTTAAATGAACAGCTACTCAAGTTTAGGGTACTTTATAATGGCATCCAATGCGCTCCTGTACTGTGACAAAATGAAAACTACTATAGACACTGTCTAACAAACCTGTATTAGTTGGGTTTCCCAGGCCCATTCTGGACTCGTTCAAGTAGTATTTCCTTACCCACATTCTCCGGGAGCCCTCTACCTCTAAGAAAAGATTTGGCTTAGGTGACAAAAGGCCTCATCCTCGAGACGCCAAGGGACAAAGACTTCGCTTCTTTCAAACTTTATCCAAGACCTGGAAGCCAGCCAATCAGCGTGCTGTAGGGAGGTCCCCCCTTCCCAGTCTTCCTTGACCACATACTGGTGAGGACTCCCATCCCTGTCTTTCCTAACCCAGACTTCATCTTTCTACTCTTTGCCTCAAGACTCCTAACACCTGTTTTATGACTTGGGATATATGTGACATCATACGAAAACTTTCAAATCGGACATCCTGCAATTATTTTTCTTATTGTATTACTTCAACTTACAATAAAACTTTTTGACAAAGACGTGATAGTGGAAGACAGTTTCTTCATTAGTTTGTTTCTCATCCAAATCCCCCAAAACATATGCAAATATTTATAATTCTAACCTCATCCCAGCAATATTAAACCAAGACTACTGTGTGGATGCAAGAAGCAATACCTAGACGTTTTAATCTTTCTTAGGCTGCTGCTCTCAGACTTTCCACTTTCTCAGATGTCAAATTCTCAAACCCAAGGTATGATTTGTAATAATAAGTTCAGCCAATGACCATCATGCCTGGGTTTCTATAGGAATCACAGAAACCACCAGAAGGATGACCCATACCCAACCAGATGGGGAGTAGAAACTACAAGACAAGGCAAAAATGCCACTCTATTTCTATGTTCTCCTACGGTCCCCTTCTCACAAGTAAACAAAAATCTCTATTGTTACTCACGACAATGAAACTTAAATATAATTTTAATCGATCTGAGCTTTACTTACCCCAGCACTTTGAGGCAGTTGTACTGTCTAATGTTTATGTTGTTTCGATCTGGGGGAAGGGAGAAAAACGCTTGATTCCCTGGAAGGAAACCCTCAAAAGGTGGTGGGGAGGGCGAGGAACACAAGGGCCTCAGTGAGTGAAGGGGCTGTCCTAAAAGCGCTCCGGAGACTTGCCACGCTGGCTGGAAAGCGAGCGCGAGCGCTCGAGTGGCGGCGGAGAGCGCGGGGCCTTCAGGACCCAGAAGCCGGTTCAGGCACGACCGGCACAAGGTACGTGCCCCTCGGTGGAAGGCAGGGGCTCAGCCTTTCGGACCGGTCTCGAGCACAAGTAAAACCGCGCGGCGCAGTGGTGCAGGCGTGCGACCTTGGGGATGAATGACCACTGGGGGCTTCTGCTGCCCGGGGGGAAGCGCACCGGCTTCCCAGTCCGCTGTCGGAGCGCACTGGGCTGGTCTCCCGCGGCCCTGGCAGGCCTGCTCCCTCCCCAGACGCGAGGGCGAGGGGAGGCCACTCGGCGCGGCCCGCCCGGCTCCTTGCTCCCCGGGGCCACGATCGCCCGCCGAGGGCTGCGTCTGCCCAGCTCGGGCCGCACCCCGCCGGCCACACGCGCAGGAGCACCCACCTCCGGCCGACAGCGCGGCCACGGGATCTCCCACTACTTCAGCTCTCCAAGGTAACGGAGCCACTCGGGCCACAGGCCGACTTCCGCTTCCGGCAGGCCAGCGCGGGGGGCCGGCCTGCCAAGTCTCGCGAGATCTCGGGACCGTAGTGCAGGTTTCTCCTGGTTCCTCGATCTCCCGAGCCCCGCGCGGAGGGCGTCGGGTGTCGCGCCGGAGGTGGCGGTGACCCGCGTGCGCTTTCGGCCCGCTCTCCCTGGACAGGACACCGCTGTGCGTGAGGCCTCCTTAGCGAGGGGCCGGTGGCGGGCGGGGACGGACGCTGAGGAAATGTGCGGGGAGGAGAGGGAGAGGCCCCTTCCGGCCACCTGTTCCCGGGGTCGGGCGAGGCGAGGGCGGCGCCGCGGCGAGGCCACAGCTTTCACCTCTGCCTGGCCAGGCCCCGGTAGTAAGGTGCCCGCAGTCCGTTGGTGCCCGTTTTTCCCGACACCTCCCCCCCCCTCCCCCGCAGCAGTGAAGTCGTCAGGGCCCAGCTACCTCCGGGCGCCGTGACCTTGTGACCTTTTCTTCTCGGAGGCCCTGCGGTTCCATCAGTGCCGGGTGTCCCAGACGTGACCCGCCCCCGCCCTCGCGACTGGCTTTCGGAACTGTGCGCCCCGCTTCTGTTAGGATTACCTCCCGTTTCTCCTTGGAAACTTTGACGTCCACAATTGATGCCCTTTTCCCCCTGTACTTGCTCCCGTCAGTTGACAGGTGCCATCGATTCTACCTCCGCAGTAATTGTGGCATCCAGCCACTCTGCGTACACACTGCCTGCACCTCCTCGAGGGTCTCGTCCCCTCAACGGGGCAAGTGCAGTACTTTTCCTCTAGCGTCAGTCACTTGCCAACCCTGTAGTCCTTTTCAAGCACAGCTGTGATCAGAAATTGTCACGGGCTCCCTGTTGCCTGTAGGTTAAGGACCTAATTTGTGAACTTGGATTCAAAACGAACGATTTTCTGCTGTCCCCCTTTCCTCCTCCCTTGGTGGGAAACCAGACCGTATGAATCTCTCCCGACCTCCCTTTACCTTCTAAAGGTTGCTCCTGGCTCTTCCTCCTTAGGAATACTCTTCTTCCCTATCTTCGTACACTGTTGAAATTCTGCCCGTTGTTTAAAGCCACATAGTGACCTCGCCGTCTAGAAATAAATTTTCTTTCTTTGGAATGTCCATCATACTTTCCAAACCATTCTTCATGTATTCATTCAGTTATTACCACTTCGTAGTTTCGAATTAAAACGGGGTGTACAATTCCTCCCCCTCCTAGCCTGTAAACAGACCTCCATCACTTCTGCATCCTGGAATGTGTGACGCTGTGCTTTGTATAAAGCGAGCACTCCGTAAATGCAGAACGAATGTGGAGCTGCCAGCGTTCCAGGCCATGTTTTAGAAGCACCGACCTAGTAAAAGTGACTAGGACAGCATGGATGAGGAGCTCCGATAGTCATTACTCGCCTTGGATAGTAAAGGTGAGAGGGGAAAGAGCAAGGTTGCAATAATTGAGTAGCGCTCTCCTTAGTGACCGAGTGGATGGTGGGGGGAAAGGATTATGAGCAACCAGGGAGGACTCCAGTTCTGTAAGCCAAGAAATCCAGACTGAATGCCCATAGGGTGAATTTTTTTAATATATGTTTATTTTGGGGAGAGCGCAAGCGGGTGAGGGGGAGTGAGAGGGGGGCATAGGATCCAAAGTGGGCTCTGCGCTGATAGCAGTGAGCCAGACGTGGGGCTTGAACTCGTGAACAGCGTGTGATCATGATCTGAGTTGACGTCTGACGCTCGACTGACTGAGCCACTCAGGTGCCCCTAGGGTAGGTTGGTTTCAAGGCAAAAAATGAGCTCAGATCTCAAACAGATTTGGAGACTATGAGATGGCTGAAGACAGAGAGGTTATGGCACAGTATATAAGTGTGTGAGTCATCCGTGAAGAAACAACAGTTGAACTCCTCAGTGTATATGATCTTTCCAAAAGAGAAAGTATTTATAGAGAAGAGCAGAAGGCCAAGGCCTACGCCTCAGGAAATACTCCTATTTAGGAGGCAGGAATAGGAAATATAAACTTGGAAGAAAAGATGAGAATAAATACATGGTAGCAATGTCACAGTTGGAAAACTCAGAAAACTGCTTCCCCACCTGGTATCAGGAGGCAGGGAGGATATTTGGGAAAAAGAGGGCTGTTGAGCAGTTTGCTGACTGCCTTCTGACTTTATTAGGGCATTACTTCTAGGTAATGAGGACTCGCACCGGAAAGAGCGTGATTTCTTTAATTTCGTAAGCGCTTAGGAGCTCCAAGCTTCTGAGAGTTTCTGGGAAGAACTGTAGATAATTCTGACCAATTTCAAGTGAGACTATTTCTGCCCATAATGTCTTCTTATATTCTGTCTGATATTTTATCAGTTTTATACCTCATTTTCTGGCATCATTGGGGAATAATCTGTTCCATGAAAAGAAATTTTTCAGATAACGGACATTTAGCCTTTAAGCATTAAAATGTTTTCTCTGGAACCACTTAAAATTTTTTTTTTATTTTTTTATTATTTTTTTTTAATTTTTCAGAGAGAGAGAGAGAGCATGAGTGTGAGCAGGGGAGGGGCAGAGAAAGAGGGAGACACAGAATCCTAAGCAGGCTCCAGGCTCTGAGCCATCAGCACAGAGCCTGTTGCGAGGCTGAAACCCATGAGCTGTGAGATCATGACCTGAGCCGAGGTTGGGCGCTTAACCGATTGAGCCACCCAGGTGCGCCTCACTGGAACCACTTTTGATAGAAATGTACATAAAACGTAGTACTTCTCTGCCATGAACACAGAAAATGGGACATGATTTAAACTACTCTTGGCAACTAAAGCTTACTGTCACAGCATCCGTTATGCTCTGCCGGGTAGTAAAGTCCTTGGCCCTGTTGACACATCTGGAAAAGACTGCCCTATGTTAGTTGACATTTTTTTTGTCTCTGTTATTAGTGTTATATCTCAATGACTTTTCCTCAAATAGCTCTGTAAATTAACCTCATTTACCCATAATTTTAAGCCTCACGTTGACCCAGTGATCTGGAGGCAAAATACACCAGCAGACGTCCCTGGGGAATCCTGGCAGCTAAAGAGTCCTTCATTCAGAGGCTGTGAGTGACCTTGGACAATGACCACTGTATTTTTTTTATTTTAATTTTATTTTTTTAATTTACATCCAAATTAGTTAGCATATAGTGCAGCAATGATTTCAGGAGCAGATTCCTTAATGCCCCTTACCCATTTAGCCCACCTCCCCTCCCACAACCCCCCCAGTAACCCTCTGTTTGT